CGTTCATGTGTGACGCGTGTCCCGTAAGGGACGTCTCTTCCTTCTCCTAATTAAGCGACGTTTCTCCGCTAAATAGGTAATTTTCATTTATTTTTAATCACAATTACCTTAAGCAACTCACTTTAAAAACTGCGATAATGATGCTCTTATAAAGCTTAGATTTAAAAGCATATAATTTATGCTTGAATAGAAGAGGCACGTAGGCTTTAATCATTGGAAAAACAAAAATCATAATTGTTGGGGTCAAAACTCACTCCGACAGTTATTCTCCTCAAAATGGCTAAGTATGGAAACTGACAGAAATGAGATAGTGCCGAATTCACTCTAGAGACCTGGACAACTTGCCAGAATAACTCATTTCGCCTAACACTGGTGCATTCTACCGACTACTGCTGCTTCCTGCCGACTACTGTTTCTGCTGACCACGCCATCTCGGAGAGCTTGGCGACTGCCGACTACTCTGTCTCTGAGAGCTCAGCGACTGCCGACTACTCTGTCTCTGAGAGCTCGCGACTGCCGACCACGCCATCTCGGAAAGCTCGGCAACTCGCCGAGAACTCCTTCACCGGTACAGCGAAGACTGTCGAAGTTACCTTGTGAACCAAGCTAGCCTATTTGGTCTACCGCAACAAGTTGGGCCGATGCTTATGAGTCCAAGATGACGAGATGGGAAGACAAAGCCCATGACGACGAAGCCCATGGGGAACGCCGACCTCGATAAAAGGAAATTCTGAGAAACAAGGAAAGCTTCCTTATCTTTTACTTGTAAAACCCTAGCCGACTTAGATTTGTATAAATGTTCTGGTAACACCTTTGTAAAAGGGATCCGCAACTTTACGCAACACTTAGCACAAAATCAATAAAGCTTTCTTAACGCTATTTTCGTGTTTTTATCTTTGTTCTTGATTGTTCTTGTGATTCTTTTCCAGATATCTCGTTTTCCTTAAAAAAACCATTGACAAATTCAATTGAGTTGGTTTCGACCCCCACAATTTGGCGCCGTCTAAGGGGACCCCTGAGATTCTCTTACACAGAAAGAACCACTCAATTGCAGATTTAGCAAAGATGACACCGGCGAGGAGTTTGAGACCCCCATAGGAGACCAACCCGGAGAAAAACATCCGGAGGCTGAAAGCAGTGGCGTCAACAAGAACGGCACTGACGACTCTTGAGCTCACAACAAATATGCCAACGATACCGTCGCTGATAAGGTGGTTGGCGACAAGAACGATGCCGACAACCGGGCTGCAGGAAAAACGGAGGCGACGCCAGAATTCTTCAAACAAATGAAGGAGATGATGGAGGTGCTGATCAAGAAGTCGGCGGAGCAGGATGCGCGAAACGCGGCGATCAATGACGAGCGAAGGATCTCAGCCATGGCGAGCCAAACCCGAGGCAGAGGAACATGCGTGATGCGGAGATCCACATGACGCCTTAACCTGACAGCACTGAACTTCTCCACCCCAACGGGTACACCAAGGACCCATGGAGTGCAATCAGCCCATCCTGACTTCGGCACCGCCAAGCCGAATACAACGACAAGCGCACCTCTAGCCGGTAGAGCGCCTCTAATGATAGATCTAGACGACCATCTGAGCAGCGAGCGTAACCCAGACGATCACCGCAAGCCCAGAGATGAAGGCCAAGCCCCCGTTCGTCGAAACCATACCCGCCTCGAGCGTGACCGAGATTTCACATGCGAGGAGGAGGAGAACATCTTCAGGGCCGAGCAATCGCAACTTGACGACGAGCGGGCAGCAAAAAGCAAAGCTCAAGAGGACGAGTTGGCTAAGATGCGGGCAGCATTAGAACGATCCGTCTC